GGAATTATAATGGAGGAGCAAGTGGACACTTTCAAAATTCCTCAATATACACCATCTTCATCTGAAGTAAAATTAGAAGTTTTGAGAGAAGGATCTGTCACTATTGATCGTCTAGAGGTAACAGAAGTACATTGGAATATAGGTAGAAGTTGTTTGTATATGTTTGATTAGAGTTGTTGTATGTTTGTATATGGACCTTATATGTATTTATTTTTAATATCTAAAAATTATATTTGTTTTATTTTGGTATTAAAGAGAGGTTAAAAACTTGCAATAATATGTATGTTTTGAATTTTTTGTGTGGATGTTATATTTTTTTAAGCTAAATATTACAAAGATTGATATATTTTTGTAGGTAATTTTTTTTAACAAAATCTCTTGATTTATAGGGAGACATTGAGGAGTTGGTTGATTTGTTTTTGTAAAACCGTTTTTTTTTCTTTTAAAATTTAGAAATAGTAAAACATATTTAATAGTCTAATTTTACAAAATTATTTTTAATATTATTCTCTATTTATGATTTTTAAAATTAAAAAATTAAAACAGATTTTAGAGATTTTGGTTTATGATCTTTGTTTTGAAGACTAAAAAAAATAAAATAAAGAAAAGTGATAATTTTTTATTGATAATAAATTTGTAATATTGTACAATTTTCAAACAACTTTTAAAAGTAAGATTATCAAACATATTTTCTTTTATTTTTGTTTTTCAAAACTATTTTTTAAAATTGATTAATAAATTAATTCTTAAAAACTAAAAACTAAAACCCAGTTTTCAAATTCTAATTTTTTCTGAAATGCACGGCTCAAAAAATTATATGGTTGTTTTAACATTTATTAGAATATTTGTTTTCTATTCAATTAGAGGTGATTTCAACATTTGGATAGATTTCGTTTAGAAAAAGATGTGTTAATCTAATTAGTGTGGAAAAGATATCATTACGTCACAATCTACATTTTAATTGAATTTGATTTAATTAAAATATTTGAATTTAGTTTAATTAAAAGATTTGATTTGTTGAATTTTGAATTAAGTTGATTTTTGGTTAAACACTATTAGTTTTTTCGGTTGGATCCTATATTCTATTTTAAAAGATGATTCTCAGTATTTAAAAATTCACCTTTTAAAATAATGAATTTGTGTGTGCCGTAATTGAGTTTCTTTGAGTCTGTGTATTTTGTTTAATTTATAATACTCTTTTTTTTAGAGTCTTTCATATTTAAGAGAGATAGAGTATTTTGTATGTAATTATGATTTAGGGGGTTACATAATTGGTAGAACAAGTCGGTCCATTCGGCCTAGGTTGGGACTAATTTGAACCCTTGTGTGCGACTTATGTGTGAACACTGTCGATGTCTTACAATTATTTTCTCTACTTATTGTAATTAGTTAACTTGTTTGAGCTGGTTGTGGAGAGAGAAACGACTGGCAGAAATGACCATGCGATTGTTGGCGCTTTTGAGGCAACGCCCTAATGTGATGGTGAAAGCGAAAGAAGCATTGTAGGCAAGTCAGAAACAAAATCAGAATGCTGGTGCTGATGAATTTCGTGGGCTGATAAAAATTTAGAAGAATAATCCTTCTACTTTTAAGAGGTGATATGATCCTAAGGGTGCTCAGAGTTGGCTTCAGGAGATTGAGAAGATCTTTTGAGTTATGGGTTACACGGATGAGTAGAAAGTGTTGTTTGAGACTCGTATGTTGTTTGAGGAGGCTGAGTATTTGTGGGATAACGTCTGTCAGAGGTTGGAAACTGCAGGTACTAAGATCACTTAGGAAAACTTCAAGAAAGAGTTTATGGAGAAGTATTTTCCGACGAATGTTCGTAGTAAGAAAGAGATTGAGTTTCTCGAGCTAAATCAAGAAAATATGATTGTTATTGATTATGCGACAAAGTCTTAAGAGTTGGTGAGATTTTGTATCCATTATAATGGTATGGAAGTTGAAGGGTTGGAGCGCATAAAGTTTGAGAATGGCTTATGTCCTGAGATCAAACAATTCATTAGTTATCAGAAGATTCACTGATTCTCAATGATGGTGAATAAGTATAGAATCTATGATGAAGATAGCAGGGTCATATCTGTTCACTACAAGAGTGCCAAATCAGTCAATGCAGCTGAGACAATGAAGGATTCGAAGTGGAAGAAAGTGATGAATGAGAAACTGAAGTCCATCAAAGTCAACAACACTTGATCACTTGTCAAATTGTCTCAAAGTAAGAAGGAAATCAATGTAAAGTGGGTATACAAGGTGAAGTTGAATTCCAAAGGAGAAGTAACTCGACACAAAGCAATACTTGTGGCAAAAGGATTTCTTCAGAATGAAGGAATTGACTTCGACGAAGTTTTTGCACCTATTTCTTGGATCGAAACAATCAAGTTGGTTGTTGGTCTAACAAACATGAACAACCGACATATGTGTCAGGTGGATTTGAAATGCGCATTCTTGAATGGCCTCTTAGATGAAGAAATTTATGTTGCATAACCAATTGCATGTGTGAAACAAGGCAAAGAAAGCAAGGTATACAGGATGCATAAAGTCGTGTATGGACTTAAGCAAGCTACAAGAGCTTGAAATAAGAAGATGGATAGATTTTCTAAGAGAGAAGGAATTTGTGAAGTGCACAACTGAGCATAGAGTATATGTAAGAAGAAGCAATGGTTAATTTCTTATACTATGTCTCTATGTTCATAACTTATTGATAACAGGTAGCTGCAAGAAAGAGATCAAAAACTTCAAAAGTGATCTTAGCAAGGAGTTCGAGATGTCTGATATGAGAGACATTTCATACTCCCTTGGCATCAAAACTCAAATGAAGATGATATTGACCTAACACATTACAGAAGACTTATTGGGTCATTAAGATACCTTTGTCACACAAGACCTGATCTAGCATACAGTGTATGTGTAGTGAGTAGATTCATGCAGAAGCCAAAGATATCACACTTAGCAGCAATGAAGAGAATACTAAGGTATCTGAAAGGAATTTTTTACTATGACATTTTGTTTCTTGCTACTGGTGAGGGAAAAGAATGCAAGCTAGTAGGTTACGCCGACTCAAGTTGGTGTAGTGATACTGAGGATAGAAAATCCACAGCTGGTTATGTGTTTAAGCTAGGTGGTGCACAAGTTGCTTGGAACTCAAGAAAAGAACCAATAATGACATTGTCGTTGTGTGATGGTAAATTTGATAGAAGAAATTACAAGTGAAGAATCATGAAACAATTTCCATGAAGATCGACAACATGTCTGCTATCAATTTGGTGAAGAATATTATAGCACATGAAAGAAGCAAGCACATCAAAATTAGATTCCATTATCTTCGAGAGCAAGTGGCATAAGGGAAGCAAAACTTGAAACACTGCAGAACTGAAAATCATACTGCATACATCATGACAAAAGGGATGTAGGTAAAAGTGTTCAAGAAACTAAGATCTATGATGAATATAGATAGCTTAGACAAAATGAATTATGTGGTGTGTTAAGAATGTAATTCCTTGCTTCGAAGCATGTTGCTTGATAGAAGTAAGGAGTTGTCGAAATTATAAAGCAGTCGAAATATAGACGAAGTGTGTCTTCGACGGAATTTAAGATTTAGCTTTATTTTATGTTTTTACCTGATTTAGTTAGGTTATATAGGGTTTGCTTGGTGTGAAAGCAATCTCATCCTATAAATAGGGAGTAACTCTATTATTGTAAAGTGTGAAAACGAATGTAGTTGCATAGAAATAAAGAGCAGAAGTTTCTCTATAAAATTCACAACTCTTGTGCTTCCACTTTTCTCTAAAACCCCAATTTATCTTTTCTTCTTCTTTCAATAATCATTTTGCTGCGATATATCATCTTACAACCAAGGTTAGTTGATTCACTCGAATGAAGAGTGAAGAATAAGAAGGATAATCAACTATAAAGATTGATTTTTATTCATCAAGATTTGATTCGGAATTCTCCAAAATTTAGTGAAATTTCATATTGGAAATTTGGTTTAATTCCAACAAAACAAGGTAGATAACGGAAAATTAGTACTCGTAATAATGGATACTCATTGTTATTCCTACCCACAAATACTTTGATAACCGTATAGATCAATTTTACCGCAATCCATGCTTAGCCTGACGCATTTAGTTGTCGACTATTTCTCCAATTTGAAAAAGAAAGGTCGTCATTTCTCAAGTATTTAAATCTTTTCTCATTTAAACATCATTTTTTAATTTTATACTGACTTGAGCACATGAACCAACCATATTTTGTACATGGAAATGTGTGGAAACTATTACACTCCAAATATTTAAAATATTTTTTACGATAAAAATTGAAGAAATTTAAATCTTTTGAATATTTTAATTAAACTGAAATGTTATAAAAAAATCATTTTTCAATTTATATACCCTTTCAATTTTATTTTTCTGTTCCTACTTCCTAATATTTGAGGTACAATGGTGGGTTACGGCGAGATTCTCGTCAAATTGTGGTGACAAATTCAATAGTCTAATTGTTTCAACTGGAAGGACTTATTTTTAATACTCAAACAAATAACCAAATAGAAAAATTAATTTTTTACTTCAACTTCTGTTTTCAAATAAGGATAATAATGCAATTTGCAGAAAATTACAAAAGAGAAACATTATTTATCAATTTATTTAAAATTTAGATAAGAAAAATCAAAATAGTCTTAATGTTTCGCTGGAAAAGGTTAACAAAGGAAAATAGTAGTCAAAGTAGTGTCTAATATTTTCCCATTAGATTCACTTGAAAATAAAATTGAGTAAATATAATATTTGAAAATAACAAAATTATCATAAAGTTCGAAAAACTGTGTGTGTGCCGTTAAAGCAGCCTATAATATTTTCCTCGTTAGAGTCACCTTAAATAAAAATCAGCAATTGTAATAGTTGAAAACACCAAAGTTATTATAAAATTTGAGATATTGTGTGTTTTATTTACTCAAACATTAGACTAGTGATATCAAAAAAATTAACCTGTGTATTGATAATTTCTCCATGGTTAAGCTAACTGTTTTGAAGGTTGATATTGATTGTCTCAAATGCAAAAAGAAGCTCATCAAAGCGGTTTCATCTCTTCGAGGTAACCACAACATTAGACACAAACTACATTTACTACTTAGTCTCCTATCTCATTTCTCCTTGTCATTTTTAAGGATTGAATGTATGTTGTTGAGAAATTTTTATAGACTCAACTTTGTGGTTAAATCGTTTTTAAATATGATGTCATAAAATATTTGTCACGGTTAATTAGTGTTTGTAATTGCATACAAAAACATTTGATTCATACGAAATAGTATTATAAATATTGACTTGCAGGCATAGATGAAATAGAAGCGGATGAAGAAAAAGGAAAATTGACTATAATAGGAAATGCAGATCCATATGACATAATGGTTCGAATAAGAAAAGCTGGGAAAAGTGCTCATATTCTAAGTATCGGGGATCTTCCTGTCCCGGATCCTCCAAAGCCGAATTCTCCAAAGAAGTCTGAAGAAGATACAAAGCTTGAAGAAAAACCTGAAGAAAAGCCTGAAGAAAAACCTGAAGAAAAACCTGAAGAAATTAAAAAATCCGAAGAAAAACCGGAAGAAACAAAAAAATCGGAAGAAAAACCTGAAGAAAAATCCGAAGAAACTAAAAAACCTGAAGAAAAGGCTGAAGAAGAGAGTAAATCCGAAGAAAATAATAAGCCCGAGCCAGCGAGTTCGGATCCGGTGAATCCGAATCAAATATATAATGTGTCACCCTATATGATAATGCCTCCTCCATATTACTACCCACAATACTACCCGGTGCCTCCTCATTACTACTACCCACAGCACTACCAGGCCCAACCCCAACCAACGCCTCCTCAGTACTCCTACCCACAATACCACGAGGCCCAGCCAGTTGCTGTGCTACACATGGCTAGGTGGGATGAGCCTGATACATCTTGCAATATATTGTGATGTTTTTTATGAGACACTTTGGTTGACAATTTAATTTTAGTAGAGTTAAATAATGTTTTCTTTCAAATAAAATAAGAGAGTTTGATTTTGGTTAGAGTCTTCTTAAATGTTAAGAAAGTGGACAACACGAAAGGGAGGAATTATTTGTGTGCCTTTTGAAAATAAAAACAAATTATTATATCTATATCAATATATAAAAATAATACATTGATTTGATGTAGTCTTTTTTTCCTTTTAATTTTTCTATAATCTATAACTATGTATAAAGGGGAATGGAGATTTTGAGCTTACCTACTTTTGTTCATATATTATCCTTGCATAACTACATTTTCTTTTTAAAATAAAGCAAGTTATAAATGATAGGTGGGCTTAAAAGTGAATGCAAGATGAGATATAAAATTTTTAAAATTTATGGGAGAAGAAACTGAACGCGTGCAAGTGAAAGTAAATGAAGAGAAGAGATTCGATTATATTCATCTTTCTAACACATAAAAAATCGTCTATTTATATTTGTTCTCACTCTCTTATTTTTTTTATCTCCATTTATTCTTTTATCTCATATTCTTTCCTTTTATCTCTCATTTTTTTTATCTGATCATATTCCTACTTTATGTACTTTTAATTGTAATGCTTCTTTGACTTTCAATTAATATATTTGTTGTTTGTTATAAAAAAAAGAGGTATGTCAAAATATAAAAGTCATGAATAGACATATAATAAACTTTTTTTTTATAACTTTAAAGTCATGTATTGTTGAACCACACTATCAATTAATTCACAATCAGTAATATAAAATGATCTTCATCTTGCTCCTAAAATATCTAACCATGGATAAAAACTTATATTTCTTCCTATTTTTGTACTGTACAATGACAATAATATCAAGTTACAAATAAGCCACGAAAATGACACTTTTAAGAGTGTAGAGATTAACAAATGGCATCTTTTCAAAATAAATTATCTGATTTTGAATATCATTAAAAAAATTTAAAATAACTACTTTGAAAGAAACTACTTTAATTTAGATTTAGTACAATTTAATTGTACCATACTCATGTAATTGATTCATTTGGTATATAAGTATATTGAGGAGACTGTATATATGTTAGGTCGTATAATATTTTGATTTTGTCAATTGTTTAAATGTATTTGTTATTATTATCTGCATGTCAATTTTCATCCGATTGTAATATTAATACATTAGGATTATCTCCTTGATTGAAAACTAAAGAGTATATTTGTATTGTGTTTTTTATTTTTGCTTTCAAACAAATTTAATTTAATTAAACCATAAAATTTCACACACATATCACAAAGTTTACTACACAAAGAATTTAAATTTAAATCAAAACTAATAAAAAATATTTGTTTATATTTTTTACGCGCGTTCATTAAAAAAAAAACAGACAAACATACACATGTTAATTATGTCATATTTATCACATACAAATAATTTAAATTAATACCAAAATTAGATTAAAAAAATACATTTATGTTTTGACGCATATGTACATTAAAAAAAGCAGACAAACGGGCACGAGAGTGCCCATTTGAACGCTAGTAATATATAAAGGCAATACATTGATATGGTGTAGCCTTTTTTTCTTTCAATTTTGTCCATAAACTAAGAACTTTATTCTATTTTACATTCTTCATAATTTATCGTACCTACACCTTAACCACAACTTTCACCGTCTTTTCTATCCAAAATTAGTCAACCAGAAAACCCTCTTTCACCAATTCAATCTAAAAACCAACAACCAGAAAACCCTCTCACATCCATCGTACTCGATGAGAACCTTCTAGGTTGTTTGGCTTGAATTGAAACACCGTTTCATATTAAATGTCAATTAGGGATGACAGATACTCACGAGCACAGATACTAGTCTCTCGCTACCCGTTATGTTTTGTAAATATAATACTCGTACAAGTATTTGCCAGACGGATATCCGTAAATTTTGAAATACTTACAAATATTTATGATACTCATGGATACCTTTTTTTAATTATAGTTTACTAATTTTTCTTATATAATGTAAATTGAAAATTATGTGTATAACTTTTAAAAAAGACGCAAGACAAGAAGAAGACGCGGAAGAAAAACGTATTCGAAAGAGTTTTGAGTGAAAAGAAGATTATCAAATTAAATTAAGTGTTTATTAATGAAAGAAATTTATCAAGTATAATAATTTTAAAGAATATTCAAATAATTTTTTTAACTATTAAAAAATACGGATACCCACACGTACATGTACTATGAAATCCTGTATCCGTAAATAAACGATAATTAAATATTTATTTATTTTAATGGCAAATATCCATTAAACTATCCGACCTGTGATAATAACAAATTTAATCCGCAGATATCCATATCCAATATTTTTTCTATTCCTAATATCAATGTTTAATTTTGTTATTTTATTGATATTGAATATCCTATAATTTTCTTTATTTATTTTTATTTACAGCACACTTTCTTCTTCTCCGAATTATATTTTTAGTTTTTTTTTTCTCCTCGAATATTGTGGGTCACAAATTCAACTGAGGGACCTACTTTTAATACTCAAATAAATAATGAAATTGAAAGACTAACTTTTACTTTTCAATTTATATTTTCAAGCAAATAATAATGCAAGTTGTAGAAAATCACAGAGGAAAATTTCATATAGGGATTTATTTATGTTTTTAGATAAAAAACATAATAGTCTTTAATATTATGCTGATAACGGTAAACAAACATAAAAGAGCAGTCAAAGTGACCACTTATATTTTCTTGGTTAGATTGACTTAAATTAATTAAAATTAATAATATAATATTTGAAAACACCAACAATATTGTAAATTTCAAAAAGCTGTGTGATTTATTTATTCAAACATTAATCTAGTGATATCAGAAACAAATAATCAGTTGATTGATAATTTCTCTCCATGGTTAAGATAACTGTTTTGAAGGTTGATATTGATTGTCTCAAATGCAAAAAAAAACTTATCAAAGCTGTTTCATCTCTTCAAGGTAATTAACCTCAACATTAGTCCTTAATCTCCCATATAATCCCTCTTCTCTTTTTTTAGATTGAATTAATGTTTAATATTTTGAGTAGGAAGATAAGTTGTTCAGAAAATTTTATAGAATAAAGTTTGTGGTTAAATTATTTGAGAAAACAATGTGTTTTTTTTCAAAAGACCCTTACAGAATTCATCTCTAAATTATTTATTTATATCAAATCCACTTTTAAGCTATTGTTTGAATTAACTTGTTATAATTTTTGATTGGATTGTAGGGATAGATAAAATAGAAGTTGATGAAGGGAAAGGAACATTGACTATAACAGGGAATGCTGACCCATATGAAGTAATAGTTAAAATAAAGAAAATTCGGAAAAACGCTCGTGTTCTGAGCATTGGGCCTCCTCTTATCCCACCTCCTCCCAAACAGGATTCTCCAAAAAAGCCCAAGGAAAATAAAAAGCCCAAAGGAAAACCCAAAGAAAAACCCAAAGAAAAAGTCGAAGAAAAGACTAAGCCCGAAGCAGCAGTGAGTCAGTATATGGTGATGCCTCCTCAGTACTACAACCATGCCCAGCCAGTTGCTGTGCTACATATGGCTAGGTGGGATGAGCCTGATACATCTTGCACTATATTGTAATGTTTTTATCATGCACCTATGCTCCACTTTTCTTAAATAATTGAATTCTTGGATAAAAATTTAACTTTAGTAGACTCCAATCTACTTCTTTTACTCATAGATAAAATAACTGTCTCGTTGAACATGTTTCTTTTGCAGCGGAATTTTTCATACAATTTTGTATATTTTAAATTTAAAATGTTTAATCCCCATACACCGTGGCAAGTAATCTTCAAAAAATTTGGATAAGTTTCGACTGTACAGAGAATCAGAATACGACAATCCACTAGCTCTGAAACCAAAAAGCATCCACTCAATTATTCACTTCTTTCCTCTAATAAGCTTCCGTTGCCCTTCAAAAACAAGTTTGGCCATATTAATTTAAGTACACTGAACACAAAATGAACATAAAGACAAAAGTATTGACAGTGTACTATGACACGTTTTGAACACATTTTACTTCATACTTATAGTGGCACTAGTTATATGAGTTGAATAAATTATTATTTCTCTGTTACTATAATCCAATTCAACACTGTTATTTATGCAATTTATTATTAACTCCAAACATAAAATAAAAGCATCTTATACCAGCACCATTCCTTTTCATAGGACAAAACAAAATGTTCATTAAAAAATTATAGACTCAGATTCTTTTCATGTCGTTTTCTTGTAATGTTTGTATGTTCGACACATGGTGGAAAATTTATTCAAAGTATAATTATATAATCGGGCCAAATAAAAGTGGACAGCCGTGTAAAGAAACAAGATCTAGGTACCTTTTCAAGCTTTCCATTTTCTTAATCATGTTATTTGTTGGCAAATAAATCCATACAAGTTTGGTCATGTTTGAGCATGCTAGATTATACAAATCTGAGTGAGCCAATATTTAATTCACTTTGCCGAAAGTTGTTGAGCTAGGATGTGGACACATTTGTGGATTCATATATATGAGACAAAGAACTAGTAAAATTAGATCATTTTCATATATAATAGTGATGTGTGTACAATTACATAAAGTTAACCTAATAAAATATGAGGAAAAGTGAATGCAGAAAATGAAAATATTCAATTGTTATAAAACAAAATATTAAAGTTGGATACAACAAGAATATTCTTGGAGCTGAATTGAAACATAAACGGGAGTTTAGAAATGGAAGATTGTAGACAGTAAAGATGAACACACAAAATTTATGGAAGTTGAAATCATTTTGAATATTACATTTTTGCTGAGATTAAATGGTCAATACCATCACAATGATCATGTTAGAATAATGCAAAACCTTTGGTCATGAATAAGTTCAGCGATATCAGATTGAGAGAAGAACAATTATATAAATAAAATTGTATAAGAGAGACGTCACATCTTAATTCA